AGAAAAAACTGCAATTTAATTAATTTTTCATTCACTGTGTCACTTTGACGTAGCCTGATTTACTATATAATTTACTTTAATGAGCTGAATAATCTGATTTTTAGAAGATAATGCTCATCATTATAATGGTAGTTTATAGCTAAAGACTCTTAATTTATATTTAAAGTAATAATTTTAATCTTATTTAGAATGACATCTACCACATTCACATTACTAGGGGGAATGAGAGTAATTAGTGGTTCATCAATAATACAATTTTAAAAAGATTAATTATTGTTTCTTATCACATTTATAAATATCATGTAAAATTGTCTTTTTTTGCAGGTATAAAGAAACAGAGAATTCATGAGGAATATTTGACATTACTTTGAGTTGTGTAAGCGATTATAAGTTCCATAGGCAATAAAATGTAAATAATTATAATAAATTATGTTGAACATGTGACTTTCAATCTCTTAATAAATATCTTTGTATAGAGCACATAGAGGGCCTTGTTTTACACGGAATCTGCAGAGTTAGTTAAGGAAAACCTGAAAGAAGGCTGTCAACTAAGACAGATAAATGAAACTTTTTTTATGGTATTCAAACCAACAAACAGACAGCAGATTCGCAAATTCGTTAGCGGCTTTGCACCTGTACCTATATTGCGCTGGCTCTCCCTAAGTTTCAATCCGAACTACTGCGGCACTACTTTGTAGTAATGCTTACAGTGATATCTACCCAGATGGATTCTACAGAGAACCCAACATTAGAAGTTCTCATTGGACCGTCATGCGTTTTACTACGGTTAAATAAAACGGCAAGTAAAATGATGCCAAGTATATATTAAATTGATAGGCCCATTTCTAACACAACGGAGCAGAGGACAAATACATCCAACCAATAGTTGGGGTATTTAAACTTCTTCACGCCGATTAGTTAAAACGATGAAGAACTATTGGTTGTTTAAACTGGCCTCCGCGAGTCGCAGCCAATTCAACTCAAATATGTGTATTCGTTAACAAGTTATAGTAGATACATCAATATTATGGTAAGCAATTTATTTATGTGTCTGACGTCCCAGTCCTCATTGAGCCCCCGTAGGAATTAAAGCAAACGCCATCACACTGTGAGAAGAGGCCAGTAATCAGCAGCCATACTACTATACATATTATAATATATACATGTATAAGAATATGAAGGCTAATATTACGAAGACTATTATTATCATTAATAAATAGGTAAATTTAAAGTGACCCTAGTGACAAATTATAAAATTGTAAGCTAATATTAAGTCTGACATTTGTATTGGAATTATATTTACTACATAATCAGCAAATAATTATTTTGAATTTATAATGTTAATAAATATTTTGATTAATACAACTAATTAAAAATATCAAATTACTTATTAAGATTAAAAAACTCATCACCAGAATAAAATGTTTGATCTCTTAAGTGTTTGATTAACAAGTTATTCAAATATATATTTTTTAATGTTACAACATCCTGAATGTACAGGGTCAAGAACACGTCAAGCTTGACACTTGAGATTTAAATCCAACTCTATGCCGCTTACAATAAGAACGGTTCAAAGTACAAAGTGTCAAGCATGACATGCTCTTGTATACGCCAGCACATCAAGCTACACATTGACGTATCTTGTTCCGTTGCAATGTAGGCGATTTTGGAACAAAAATGAGTAGTCTGATGTGCCGTTGTCCGTACCATAGGTAGAGACACAATTATAGTCTTACTAATTAGATTCGGATATATCATGAGTTCATAGTAAAGTAGTAGCTAGCGTCGACTGCTACTAAATTCCTTCACAGATTATGTGGCAAATTGTACAGCGCCCCCAGCGGCCACAAAGAGAAATAGTAACATTTTCCGCCTAATTATCCAACCATATTGCCAGTTCTTAGATTTCAATTTTTCTTCAATCATTTAATTATCTGACATTTTTTCGCGGGAAAATTACCACAATAATTATATTAATAACAATTATACTTGGTTTAATTAACTATAATACCTACTGGTGATATAAGTACAACGTTGGCATATGCCCAGCAGTGGTTTGCGATAGGGTGATGATGATGATAAAGAATAACTTTACTTTCTATAAACAACATAATAATTGATTTTGGATTCTAAATAGCAATGACTTAACGACGACGATGTTTCTGAATATCTTTTTTATTATTATAATTCAGACAAAACCTTTACATTTAAAAGTGAATTGTTCTTAATTATGATTTTGAATTTCAAATTATAGGTACAATCACTAAATGCCGCAAATAGACAAATTAATTTCATTATTTATCTGCTGTATTCTTTCACCCCATTTGGCAAAGGCAACCAATTATTTCCATCTCGTTCTTCTCTAGCGATCCTTGGCCAGGATATACCTACACGCTACTTTTTTTTATTTCTACCACTTTTCTCATAATTCGGTAAGAAAGGTTGTTTCGGTTAGAATAACATTATGATAACTTAACTGTTTTCAACTCTTTTTTGGTATCTCTAATCTGTGTACGTTTTGGGAAACTGTAAGCGCATAGAGTTATGTAAAAATAAATAAATATGTTAGTTTACTTTAAGACATTTTAATATCAAATACATTTGGTATTGTTGCTGGTAAAGTTGGATTTGTATATACTTACACTTAATAGTGCATTATTGAAGAGGCTTTGAAGTAAGGGATTGCCGGACGAGTATGAGTTACAGGGATGAGCGCCAGCGAGGCCTTGTATTACGAGTCAAGCTATCCCCGTACCCGGCGAGGCATGTATAGTGTTTTTCTCAAGTGAGTGAGGAAATAATAAAAGACGAAAGAGAGGAAGATGTATAATAGAAAACGTAAAAAAATATTAATTAATTCCTCAAAAGTAGTATTTGACGTGTTAGAACAATTTATTGACTTATTTTTCTATATAAAAGCGTTACTCTAACTCTTTTTACTTGCACTAGAGCTCTTTGTGAAAGGGTTCGTCCAGAGAAGTACTGCCACGTTACTTATGTCTGTCGCCAAGCAGTAATGTGAGCATTACTGGATTCCAGTTTTGAAGTGCGAGGCTGCTGGTGAAATTCTAGGCACATAGGACTTGTCTACTTATGTCTCAGCGTGATAGGCGTAGTGACAGTGCTCCTCAGATTTTTGCGATTTAAAGCTCTGAATGGCACTGCAACAGTTACAGACAGGTGTGTCGCTTGATCCACAACTCGTTCGTCCCGTCACTTGATATCATAAAAACTAACACAGACACGTTGTGTTATTACTTATAATGGCATGCCGCGATGGTGATAAAGAATCGACTGAAATATATATTAGCTTTATTGCTATATCGGAAATCAAATGGACATAAACTATGCGTGATTACAAGTCAATATTTTCATTGAAGGAACCCTGTAGAGAAGCAATTTAAGTTATCTAGTAAAACATGTTCTGGAGTACAAGCAACTCTACTTCTGGTTTGTAATTAATTTCTATAGAGTCGGTAATGTTATTTATATCGAAGTTATAAATTGAACGAAAGAAAAAATCTTCATTCAATACGATTGTGATAATTTCTGTAGGTTGGTACCGCATTAACTCATGTTCTCATGATGGGCATTGATTCGTAAATATACAATATAAACATGTCAATTCACCATTAGTTGAATGCGGTTTAGTACAGGCCAATTCCACATAAATTTATTAATATTAACACCACATTAAGCAAACAAACCACATCTATTTAAAGCGGTTCCGGTCTGAGGAGGACTAACTTTTGAGGAATATAACAATTTTGGAACGTGATATAATAATAATAATATTGCTATGCCAAATAACTAATCTAAAATGAGAAAATTCCCTGTACTAGAGTACCAGAGTAACGGAATTGACTCCGGGGCACTACTATACTCTTACAACGTCATTTTCATATTTTAGTACTTAATATAATCGTTTCTTCACGACGTTTTCCTTCACGGTTGAAAAGAGATACCAAGAAACATAAAATAACGTACAATTTAAAATCATAGGTATAATAATGCCATCGCAGGGATTTAAACCGTCAAACTCTCAAGCAATGCCATTGCTTTTTTAATGCTTTATATTTAACAACAAAAATTCGGTTTTAAAAATAAAACTCTATATTTATGATTATAGTACAAAAAAAATCCAACAGATGGCGTTAGGATCGAGTTGAAACGCGCTATCGGTTTGTTACATTCGTTTTCATAAATAGCAACGCCGAAAACCTTATATTTACTTACGTTCAAGGCGTAAACAATCTATGAAACTTAAGATTTTTCTCGTAAAGGTGGTGATTATTTAATCATCACCTACAGAAATCGAAAAGAATAGTAAAAATTGAGCTTTATTGCTATTTATCTGCTTATTTATCCCGACTCGGGGATTTCAAAAGAAGTATTTCCAATGATAACTAATAGTGCTTCATTTCATTGTTTTCGTATTGTATGCTTCTTAATATTCGTTCGAGTACATTGAAGTTACCCCTCTCCGAATCTCCGAACCACCAGTTTGAGATCCAGTACTTCCTCTGATGAAAAATCCCAAGCAGACAAAATTGCCGTACTATTTTTTATGTTTTAATTTATTCTAATTGCTATTAATTATTAGTTCATTTAATTTAATAAAAATTCTAATTGTTAAATAAAATAATTTGTAAAAAGTTCTTTGAAAAATTTCAAAACAATGTATTCAATTAATAACTTTTGTAGCTTTAGCGAAAAATAGGGTGGTTCGCTTTAATATTACATATAATCTAGTTAGATGATGACTTTACCACCTTAGTCAGCCGTGATCATTGGACCTATAAAGGACACGAAACGTAGGTTTGTTTGAAATAAAATAACAAATAATATACGCGATTTAAATGCGAAAAAGTGGTTTCGACATTGGAAAGGTAAAACGTGTAACGTGCATTTGGAAAATATCACAGGAGAGCGATTTTAAGAAAAAAATTACAACTCTAATTCTATTTGTTACATGGAAAACTCTTTTCCATATACATACGTAACAATTGAAAAAAACTCTTGTAAAAAAATAAAGTCTGAAATAAAGCCAGTGTATGTACCTGCCGCTTGCTCGACCCAAGTAAAATGAACCCTATTAGTACGAGAAATGATTTGAACTCTAGCTGAGGTAGTATCAACTCTTAAATAGGGGAGTTATAAAATTTCACATAATAAAAATAATTTGTTTCATGTAGCTTTTAGTTTTAATATTGTTTTTATAACTTTTATGTGTTATGAGCACTTTTGACGTATGATCCATGTGACTTTATTAACGAGTTATATTAATTTTTAATTCATTTTCAACCTTTGTCGCTTAGCTCCTTTCAATCTTTCAACCATCAATATAATTTAAAGATGGAATAAAAAAGTGTATTATACGAATTAAAAATAGTCGGGTAACATCTCAGTAACACCGTCTATATGCCATTAACTCTTCTAAGTAAGGTACACACCTTAGAGAAATGAGAACGCGGAAGGCTCGGTTGACAAGATTTATTTTTAGATATGATGAAAGAGACAAAGAAAGTCCCAAAAAGGTCCCATGACTCAGACGAACGCGCACGCGTACATACTCAAAGCCTCGCACTAGGGAAACCCTGTATCGCGGGTGCCATGGACACATACATAGACAACCACAAATTACACCCAAACTCACGAGAGAAATAAAAGTAAGCCATATAAATATTTCTCCAGGCCCGGGAATCAAACCCGGGCCTTTGCGTGGTAGTCCTGCGTTCGGCCACGGAGGCAGTTTATTATTATAGTTAGACTATATAAATTCCATAAGGAAAGGAAGGTGATTTGTGATTGACGGGCACGTCTTCTCGTTTCAGGAGTTTTGATGTGAGTGACGACGGATAGAACAAACGCAAGAATAGTGAAGGAAAAGGCAATTCGAGAACGATTCAAAATTTTCGAAATAATTGGCCAGAAACCAGAAAAGAGTATCTTAAGAAGGTGGGATGACGACAAATTAGGTCAGCATCGTCACAACTTCGATATTAAGTATGTGCGTGTGTATTTATCAATGAGTGCGGGTCAGAATAGTGTGTAGTTACTTCCACATTAAACGGCTTTGGCGGTCATTCATACAAACAGGTGAAATGTTCACGTTTCACATTCGGCACGCGTTGCTGCCGGATTCTAAGCATTTTTTTACCATCTGGTGGGGGACAGATGGCGATCTTGTGAGGTAACCATGAATTAAGACTAAGCAGTTATAAACTAATTATAAAGTATGATATGTTTTGTTTTAGCATTGCTTCTTATATAAACGTTCTTATGCAATCTGTATATCTGTATAATAATATACAATGAATAGACTAACTAGACTCTGAAGTATAACTTCAACTAGCCCCTTACAATAATGGCATACCCTTCAGCAAGAAAATCATTCATTCTGAATTTTAGCTCAGTCTCGAGAAACGAACTTATAGTTGGAATATTTGATTATCCGATTTTCGATCTATTTTCGAATTATTTTGTTATGTAGGAGATGATCAAAAAAGTCTTCAGTTTCATGAGAGAAAAGGTTTAATTTATTTAATTATTACGTATTTAGATACGTACAAATAACGTACAAATGTAACTAAATAATCAAGATCGTGATAGTTTTTTTGGTTTATGGTAGATCAACTTTTCCATCTATTCTAGTTCCTGGACTAGACAAAACCAGTGTATTTTGATTTGACTATTACGCTGCCTGTTGAATTAAATTGGTACAAAAACAAAATATTATTTAGAGAAAACGATTTTCTATATTAAATTACGTTCTACACATTCACTTATTAACTATCACCAGTTTCTTAAAAGAGGTAAGCAAATTCTACGGACCTGTGAGTAAAAGATAATGATACCTAATAAATCTTTACTGGAATATGTGGTAGCAGTATTGAGAAGGATCATAGAAGGAACTACGATAGAGTAACTAATATATACTTCGAAAATAAAGTGAAGGGTATTAAATGATTAGTAATTGTATCTAGATTCGCAAATTCGAAATACGATTGAAAGCTTTCTTTGTTGGGTTAGTAGTTTAATGCCCCATGGCATGGTCACCCTAATGTCCGAGATTTTTTCGCAGCACTCTAGAGCGAGACGGCTGTGGTTTTTTCATGGAGACTGAGCTCCGTCGCGGCAAGATGAGGCGGTAATTAATTTGATCAGTCGGTACGCTGAGCTTGCGTAGCGGTTAGTGCCGCGAGGTTTCGATGACGCTTGCGGTTGATAGGCAACCCTGTTAATTGATTTTACTGCGGCAACACGTATTACGGTCGAATACTTCAGGGGTTGTACTGGCATGACCGAGGTTACCTATCGGTGTAGACAGAGGATAAAATAAATAAACTTAGTCTTTAAGTTATTTAAGTTTAAATTAAGATTAAGATAAGAAGAAGCAAGAACAGTTTTAAGAACTCTATATTATGTTAGACGATATAGTAGTTTTCGTTTCTCAGTTTTATCATAATTAAAACTCTGTTCTTATATGGTTGAGCATATTCAAGTTCTTATTTGAGAAATAACTTCCAATATGACATATATTGTAACAAAATATTATCAGTATTAAGGTTTTAAATTAATTTAATCACTAATATAGAGTTGTCCTCAAAAGTGCAGCAGCAGCAGAGATATTGACATATGAAGGGACGTGGAACTTTAGCAGAGCCACCCCAAGAACAGTGCCTGTGACGCTAAGTCAGGATCTACTCATCTCGCTCCACTTTCGTCTAATATACCGTTTTATCGATATCGATGCCAGTATCCACCTGTCACTACCGCGGGGGCCGGGCGGCAGGTGCCTGCAGACGCGGCGGCGCGCCAGTCTCCCGGGACCGCTGCTGCGACCACACGTCGCGCTTCCACCGACAACTATCGACCTATCGACACGTGCAAAGCGCAACCCTATTTTGTTATTCCAATTTAAAATTTGCACGAAATTGTGTGTGTGGACTCATTATTATTAACGGATCCTACAATTGCTTAACATCTGGTAAGTTCGATAACTTTTTATCAACTTTAACGCTTGGTATTTGGGTTATGTTTTGGTATCAGAAAGTTTTAAACAGCTAACAAACTCAAATACACGTTTCTAGAATTCACAACAGAGTAAATTTTAAGTTTTTCGCTCGGATTTTGTAAATGTATGTCAATACGACAGTAAACTTATCTTTTAAGAACTGTTGTATTCGCGGTTTTGCGATTTAATAATCAATTAACTTGTTCTACATTGCTTAATTGATTGCTCGGGAGATGAATGTATTTTACTTTGTATTCGAGCTATATGAGAGAGATCCGAGATTAGTAGATAAGATAGTGGTTACTGAGAGTTACAACGGCATGTTAAAAACTGCATACAATAGATATCAACGCGGGCGCACGAGCGATAATTGTCAGTTTCTCAGAGCTTTTGTCGGTTTAGTTGTACCACACGTGGACCGACGATTGCTACCGTGACTTGCTAATCAGTTTACTTTTAAGTAATATAGTAAGTTATTGTTGAGAATACGAAGGTATAGATATGATTGCAAAAGTTATTTATTCTCTAGAAACCCTACAGCAAAATTCTATTTACCTCAGGTGGACGAGAGTAAAATTATATTAACGTTACATTATTATTTTCATAAATAATTGTTACCTATAAATAATCAATATCGATTCATATCATATCATATCGAGTTCTTAGGTTTTCACGATTGTTACACATAGGAAATGAAACCATTTTTCAAATCCGGAAAAATAGTTTCATTTCCCATAACATAGACATGTTTCTATTTTTGTATTGAACTCGAAAGATTTAAGTACTTTCAAAATCAAATTACATTCAAGCAATTAAAAATCAGCTCCAAAAGTACGACACTTCAAGTTCAACTAGTAAATAAAACTTCATTTCTGAAATGAATTTCCAATATTCGATCCATCCTTACCGTTTTTGCGGTATTGTTATACATATAAAAACCGTTAATATATTTTAATTTTCTTGTTTTCAATTTTTTTTCTTACTACTAACTCTAGTAACACGGTCATAACATTGGATAGAATAAAAAATTTCCGATATCAGTATTATATTCCGTGATGGAACGGCGCAGATCATAAAGTAGCAAAGCAACGTATGAAACTTTAATGAACAAAAGTTTACGGCCGTAGAGTGACTTTCACGCTAATTATTACTGTTCCATCACTTTAAATTCGCATTACTCTTGTGTTTATTGTAAAGAGGAAATATAAAAATCAATACGAACTGTTCAGGGATTCGTTATCACCAATAAATGGCAATTGTTGCTCATTTTGCGAGCATTTGCTATAGAGACAATAGGTTTAAAAGTTAATAAAGAATTAGGAAACTCAAAATCAATATAGTTAGTTTAATTCGTGTTTAACCTTAACAACAAAAACCTCGTCATTTCTTATATTCTACTACATATTCTGATACGTACCACAAGAGGTGTGATTCTCGATTTTTTTAAATTCCTTACCAGACGTCTAAAGCTAGTTAAGATAAGAAAAGTCACATCACTCGGATTCAAACCACGCAGAATTATTTTGAATAAAAATAATTCGCATTTCTGCTTATATGATCGAATTCTGTATGGTTCCTAGGCTTCGAATTAGATCAGTTTGTGCCTTCCCATAGCTATCGTAAAAGCCACTTAAGTATAAATTCAAAAGACGGCTATCTACATATATATTATATATTAGGTTGCAGTTTTATTACGATCGCTAACATTAGTATCTATGGAAAGTTCAACGCTTTTCTGAGATTTTATGAACACTATAAATATCTTATATTTGAGCTATATCTTATGTTATCTTATGTTTCCACTCTTGGGTTAGGTTATTTTATTATCTGTGACTACACGTTGGACATTTAGTATTAATGTTATGTACTCGGTATATTAATACTATGGTCTTATAAGTACATGTGCCATTACAATTATGTAAATACGTACTCAACTTGTATATATAATTTTATTAAATTCAAGGGTTAAACATTAAATGTAGTGATGTGAGTAAAAATCCAGTAAGTTTAGAACTGAAATTTATTATTCACTCCTTTGATTCATGTATCAAATGATATAGATAATTCATCGCGTATACTTAGTCAAAAAACGATAGGTACAATAAACTCTATCGATATATGCCATGAGCGTAAGCATAAGTAGAAACTAACGCGATCTCGAATAGTATAGGGTAAAAGGCAAACTCAAGTAATCTTTATTTCAAAATTGTCATATTTATTAACTCTACCACTCATTCGTAAGGCAGTTTCCCCTGAGAAGAATGGGCAAGAAATTCTAGGAGTTGCTCTTTGTATGTAAACATTTGTACACATTTATCGTTTACAATATTTATTTCAAACATCATACATCGAGACAACCTGCAGGGTGTATCAATAAGTACGGTTATTTCTACATAACAGAATTTACTATATATATTATACTCATAATAACCAAAACACTACAAAACATCTGAGAAATTCATGGCTCCCGACCATGACTCGACTAAATTAATTCCACTCTAGACAACGTAAAGCGAAAATTAACAAAACTAGGTTAACCGTAAATAAAATTATAATTGGCATTGTTACTTACATGTACTCGTATCTTTCACGGGGGTTTAACATCACTTTCCGCGAACTAGATAATACGGGGCAAGCAATGTCAGGTCTAATTGCTAAGCATTTAGATCCATATCTCGATGTGTTACAGCAGAATTATAAAGTTTAAATCTAAAACATGTTATTTGGTAATTACTGTTACTTTAGTTTTACACGAGCTAGAGGTATCTATTCTCAAACGGCCACATGTCTCATATGTTACGGCTGTTTTTAGTCACACTTATAGGGCCAGCAATTGAACACAATCTCGCCCGATGGCAAGTGGCGATGTAGTTGATGGTGGAACATGATTGCGAAGACGGCGCCTATCTACGCTCACTTTGAAAAGGACCCTGTTGTATTTACGGGGAACAAGTCCGTAGGCAGAAAATTCTAGACCTTTGTTTTCCGCGTTAAAGAGGAAACTATATATGCGTATAGACCGTATTCCGTCATGAAAAGAATATGAAATAACGTCCGATTCAAAATTCAAAATAATCTTTATTTCATAGGTAAGCATTACACTTAAAATCGTCATATTGATTAAACTCTACCGCTCATTGGTATGGCAGATTCCCTTGAGAAGAATGAGCAAGAAACTCTAGGGATTTCTCTTTGAAAATATACATTTAAATATGTTTATTTTACAATATTTATTTTAAACATCTTAGATTGAGAATACCTGCAGGAATTAAACGGGTCACTACCACGGATTTTTTCATCCAAGTACGCAGGAGCTGTTTATAAATAACCTATAGTATAAAGTTTTTGTTTCACTATAGTTTTAATCTTCGTAAAGGCAAATTTTGAATATCAACTGGAATACGTATTGCCCCTATGAATTTGTGAAGAAGACTGTCAAGAGCAGTTAGTGTATTTTTATTCCTTATATTAATGTTAAGTCTGTAACTATTTTTCGTAAAAAAATTACTACACTTCTTAACGTAAGTGACATTTTCATAAATGTGCTTTGACGCTAGTGCAAGAATGTTAATTCTTTAAACTTATCTCTCAAAGACACTCTGTTGCCTAGATTGAATTCTTGACTGTGCGATCCCATCGCACTTCCGAAATGTATTCTATAGTATTAGTTACAAGTAATAATGAATTATCGAGTTCTTAGGTTTTTCATTGCTACAGGTTGGAAATGCTACATTTTTTTAGGTCTATATCGCGTATAGGTGCCATAGTCACGGTTGTTTGAAACGATAATGATCATCAACCAGTTATGCCTAATTATAATGCTTTTACGTACGCCACAGCCGCTCACATGATATTTATTAATTGTGAAAAATTATGTTTGACTATTTAAAATTTTGTTCGATTTTTTTTTTGTTTTTTTTATTTTATTCTATTTTATTTTGGGGTAACAACAGCCATACTTAATTCAATACTAACCTTAACATACGTCACATTTTTTGAATAGGCCAATTACAGTTATCCACTTTGATATTTTATTTGTTATGTTATTTTTGCCTTTTTTTTATTCTTTCTTTCTGTGTATTTTTGTGTTGTGGCGTCGTTATAACTGGTTTCTATTCTATTCTATAATGTAGACCCTATAATGTAAACCATATTATATATATCCTGAACCATAATTACCAAAATTGTTAATTTAAGTACTTTATTTTTAATTTTTAACATGTATGTATATTTTAAAATGTATGCATTATTCATTACATCAAATTTACGAATTAAAAGTATTATTAAAAATATAACTAAATATGATGTACGAACAGTACAGTTGAATGTTTGCTTGGGAGTTTTCATCAGGGAAAATATTATTTTTTGCATTAATTTAAATTAATTAGTTTTTCTACGGTTGAGGTTGAGACAAAATTTCTCACAATATTTTTTTTCCTTTGTACTAAAGTATTTATTTCATTGAAGAAGAAACTACTAACAACAATAATTTTACTAAAAATACTAGTTATACCTATCGATTTATTCTCTAGTACATGCCTGTACAAAAATCAATCACCTTCTAGATTCACAAATTGTTTTATCAGAACTGTAAAATTGTATTCAAATATGCCTTTTATCTGAGGCAATTGTGTAGGATGTCATGATTGCCCATTATAAAATCAAATTTACAGCTGTGTGAAGAAAGTGTATAATCATTTTATTCATACTCTATATTTTGAGATAACAATAGACGATAGATTTGTCCAATAACACGCTATATAGATGTATTTTCGTTTATTAATGTCCTGTAAACTGTATAATATCATTGGTTAATAGTAAAGTCCGACCGAAACTGGTTTTCCGGCCGAAACCGAAACCGAAACCGAAACCGAATGTTCGGCCGTGACTTCAGTTTCGGCCGAAACCGAAACCGAAACCGAAACTCACGTGGTCAAGTATAAAATACCTTTATATACTGAATTTTGGTGCAT